TGCTTTGTGTTTGGTGGGACAGCAAAGGAATTCTCTATTACGAGCTTTTGGAACCCGTTGAAACAGTTAATGCGGAGCGCTATGCCCAACAACTGAAGCGTTTGAACGAGGCAATCACCGAGAAACGGCTATTTCACGGGAAGGGAAAGCGAAAGATCATTTTGCTCCATGACAACGCTAGGCCACATGTTGCAAAATGGACTCGGAAAACAATAATGGATTTGTGGTGGGAAGTGTTACCCCACCCAGCCTATTCGCCTGATCTGGCTCCTTCTGATTATCACCTGTTTCGCTCAATGGAACACTACCTGCGTGATAAGAACTACGATAATGATGAAGGTCTCCGAAAAGACCTTGATATTTTTTTTGCCTCGAAAAATGAAGAATTTTACCACGATGGGATTAGTCAATTGCCCAATAGGTGGAAGAAGGTCATAGCTAACGATGGAAATTATTTCGATGATTGATGGTCTATTTGTTTCTTTTTTATGAATAAAACTCTGAAGCGAAAAATCCGACATTATTTATTAGCCAACCTAATATTCTGCAATGTAAGGCGTAGTAATTCACATTTCACAGGAATACTCGGAAAAAAAATTTCATTTTTCAAAATTCCACAACCGTGTCTATTTTGACTATAACTTCTGATAGGCTTAACGAATCAAGTTTAAGTTTATTATTTGATAGTAGACTCGTAATGCCCATCACTGATATACATAAGTATTCTGTGATTTTTCGACAATAACCACGAGCTGAATCATGTAATAGAGTTTCACCATATCTATTTTGACGATTAACATTTATTGGATATTGAATGAGAGTACAACAATTATTTCTGCAATTTCAGGCAGTTCGAACATATTGATAGTCCAATATAATTTGAATGATTAACACTGATGTCATGTTCAACAAATAATTGAATATTTTTGAATTTGTACAGAAATATAATTTTGGTATTTATCATACAAATTAATATCGGCACCATGTTCCAACAACGTCTTACTCAAATTACAGTGATTCACAGGATAAGAGCCGTTTGGTGATCAGTACTGCGAACGTTAATATCGATTTGTGACAAGATTTCGATACAAAATTCAATTCTACCTTGTTTTACCAAACTAAATCGTTTCGTTTTTATCGAGTCAGTTGGTATCACTAGAATTTCTAGATGGAAATTATTAGTCTTCCATTTACAAAATTAAAGCATAGCAACATCACAGAAGGATATTAGTTTTCCAACAAAAACTTAGCAGATAAACTTTATACTGTCAATATCTTCACATGTAGCCTCTATGCATTTCACAGTAAATGATTGTAAATGTGCTACAATTTCCGTATATCGACACATGTATTAGATAAGTCAAAATTATAGCAAACACAACAGTTGTAACGCGATCTGATGAAATTGTATGTTTCACAATAGTCGCATGACACTTATATAAAAAAATTGACTATCATTCTGTTTGTATATAAATAGAGCAAAACTATGCATTAATGCCCCGAGAACGTGTTAGCAAACGTATTTTTAATTCAACAACTACTGTGAAGGACAGATAAAATTCACCGTATTCTGTACATAACTTTTCTGACCATTTCATAACCTAGATTTAATATTTTTTTAAAGCATTCTTCATTCAGTCCTCTTCAGAATACTAAAGACTCTTTCTTTTTATGGAAGATATATTACGGAAAAGAAATAAATCTCTTATATCTGATGAACCATCCAGTAAAAGAGACGCAAACTTGGTGGGTGATCAGCATTTGGTAGGAACTGTGACTACACAAAATTAGAAGTCCCTTGCTATCATGGTTCTTGAGTTACGGGGGTGTCGCTACTTTTGTGAGATTATTTTATGAAAAAATAATCCCGTACTCAAAGGGTTACTTTAACATTTTTCCTGACATATAACATGATGCTGCCTCCTTTCGTCAAACTACTTTTACGATAAGATTTATAGCCTACTGCTTTCAAAACAACATCAGAGTATGAAGCGCTTAACCAATTTTTTGTTACAGCGATTATTACAGATTTTGTCAGTGAAATATGAGCTTCAAAAAGATCAAACTTAGTGGCATGATTAGTAACTTTTGCAGTCATACAGCTACAGTTTAAAAAGAGCACTTGTGCAAAGTCAGCCTGCCGTTTGTTCTTTTTATGAACCATTTTCAAACTGATGTCACCATGTCACACAGGGGCGGCGGAGCATTTAGATTTGGTAAGGCTCAGGCTTCACGATCCGAAACCTGGGTGGCAGTGAAGCCACTGCTTCTCCCCGGTGTTTTTGGGCAACGGTTTTTGAGTTCTTTCGAAGACGCCCTTTGCTATCATTTCGCGAACAAAACTAAGTGTTAGTATTTTATCTCATTCACAGGATTTTGCAGAGCTTGAAAAGCTGAATCTTTTGGTACCTAAGTAATTATTTTTATGCTTATGTGTGTTAGAAAAACCGACTTAGTAAACTGGCTAATTTTCAGGTGGTAGTAATATTTTTTTACGGAGTTTACTACTTCGAGGAGAAGTAGTAAACTCAGATGAAACTTCATCTTTTCCTAATTATTCTTCGTGGACTAGTTTTTCTATTACTAAAAACATTCTATTAAAAAGAAAAGTTCGACCTTCTCTGTAAAAAGGTCCAATACAAAAATACATCGGAAAACAATTTCTACTTCCTAATTTTTAGTAAGGCTCAGCCTAACCGAGCCAAGATTTGGTAAGGATCAAACCTTACCACGCCTAGTGGCTCCACCGTCACTGAATGTCACACTGATGGAAACGATAAAGTTCATGTGTAACTCTCAGCTCTCTCCTTTCTCTTCCTTCGTAAAACACAGTAAGAATAACAAGTAAAAAATGGGGTGTTCGCATACTTGAACGAGAATCTCTTTTTTATATCTTTAGGCTATATTTCATCTTCTTCCCAATCTGTAACTGAATTAGCATCACTAACTGAGTTACAAATACGCTTTTCCATCATTGTGCATGACCAGTTCATTCCTCGTGTATTGTAGCGCAGGTCTTTTGAACGTGTAGAGAAAGTATAAAAAGTCATTAGAGATTGATGCGTTAGCATAAGAAACTATTAACTATAATTTTAACTCACATCGTTGGTAATAAAAATAAGCTGCTAGCAAAACACAACATAACATTTTCTGCTGTATTAAACCACTCACTCTCGGTTTTCAGACATTATATTGCTATGAACTCATCGAATGATTACTATGCTGTTTTCATTGCCACCTTGTTTATTCAGTACGGTCTTTTATGTATCGGTATGTCTTTTATTCTATTTGTTCTGTATTTTAATAAAAGTCCTTATCTCTATGGCCAGCACAAACGCGAAAAGCAAATAGTTGTGGTGTAATCGCTAAAATTGAATTTAGGCTAACAGTAGTGAACCAATATTTAGGTGGAATTGCAGACCAAGATGAGTCTGGAAATAATGTTGGGCTGTGTAAAGAAGAAAACAAGTAAGAGAACTGTGCCTGAGCAGCAGCCCCCGCATGCACCATAGTCCAATCGGGTAGCCATTGAAATTTTGATGATTGTTCATTGTAGAATAACAATGCGTTAATTGCTGAGTAATAATACGGTATGAAATAAAATGCATATGTTAATAGCTGAAGCAACGGAAAGCCTGATGTATTCAACATATAGGGTTCATATTTATAATAGATGCTGTGAACCATCATAGGAGTCTGTAAGACATGTAACACACGGAAAATTGCAAGTAAAATTGCGAATACCATGTAAGCGACGAAAAACATATCGAGAGGACGTGATATTAACGGTTTTAGATTTGTAGCCTTTTTGTTTACTTCTACCTGTTGTTGTTGAATAAAACTGGTACGTGTACGAAATTGTCGTAAGACGAAAATTAAAGGAAACATCACATAAGGTATGTTTAATAAATAGGATGGTTTAATATGTGTGCCGTACCGACCAACAGCAGCACCACCCAACAGGACAATCAATGAATTTAAAATAGAACCACACCAAAATAATGATAGAAAACGGTAAAACTTTGTTTGCGTTTGTTTCGCTAACATACAATACAACATTGTCAAGTACAATGTATAATGTACTGTACCGTCCCAATAATTAATAAATAACCCATGAGATGTTTTCAAGTAGACTTCGCCCTGTTCTAAATAAAAATGAAACGCGGACGAATAATTATCAATTGTCAAGGCTAATAGCAGATCAGCGACAGCTGTGAATGAAAATATTGTAAACACATAAAAGTACGTTTCCTTTTTTACGCGCGTTAAATGCTTAATCAATAAAAAATATGTTAACGGTGCAATTGATGTGCAAATAATCACACCAGAGAGAAAAACATACAATGAATTTTCCATTTGTTTAACATAATACGACATATAACATATAGGTATAGATAATAATGAAACACCCACAATACCAAATAATACACGGATAGCTGATTCAGATTCAATTGCTTGCATTTGAACTTTTCTGTTGATACTATGATCGTTCGTCAATGTTGATTCAGAACCAGGTCGCATAGAATGATTACAAGACGTCTTTAATTTTTTCTTGTTTGAGTCATACATTACTGCAGGTCAATCTCCCAACTTGTTTTCAAAACATGATACTCTTGAATAAGATAGAGCATAGTTAATGAGACGACATGATTTCAGAGACACGATCTTCTGAAGTTTTCAAGTATTTTCTGAAGTCGCTACACTCTTAGTTGCTGACTCTGTCTGTTGGCTTTGAGCGATTAGACCTCTTTTCGAGTACAAATCGATTCGTTATAATAATAGAAAACGAGTACATATATAAGTTACAGAGCGAAGAAGAATGTGCATGAGGCGGAGGAGCGGTGAAATATGAAGCGAAGTGTAAGGAGATAAGAATAAGAAAAAGCGAGACAGAGACGAGTAAGACTGGGATATTTTCTGTTAGGTCACGACTGACATAACGCTGCAAACAGAATTGAGTCCGACCGTTTAAACTTTCACAGGACGAGAGCAAAACACGAGCGTTTCAATACGTTTAGGGGGAACTTTTCACATCCGGCTTCTTCTAATAGTTTCTAGAGAATTTTCTGAAGTATACATTCTGCAATTTTTAGATTCTTAATTTTGGTGTAATTAGACAGAGGACTTCAAACTGTGTACAAAAGAATTTCATCGCTTCTGAATGAGAATTAACAGAAACATTTAATTTTTACGTTCTCGTATTTTATTTTCTAATTTTTCTTAATTCGTAAAACGCTACTCAAGTTGAAACAGTACGTGTTTTTAAATTCTTAAACTTCGCAGAAAAAAACTTTCTAATGGTCTTGCTCAAAAACTTTTCTGACAGTTACTGGAAGTGGGCGATGACACTTTTTGTGCAATTGAGCATCGTCTTGGCTACCCCAGCAGTCGGACACCAGAAGACACTTC